CACTGAAAACCTCGGGCTGTCTCAACGGCAAATCTAAAATTATGTTATTGAATACTTTTTTGGATATTGACGGGGTGCTACGTGTTGGAGGTTGGTAAAAACTGAGACCTTAGAAATCATATCTCAAGGTAGGCAGATTTTGGCAAAATCTCTCTGACTGAGCCCTATGAGCTGGTTTACCAGGACACCAGAATAGCTCCTCGAAACTACTGGTGACTAAGCAGTAAAAATCCAAAAAAAAACACGTGTGGCACTCCGGGACTGGCGCGGTAAAGCTATTATTGCATAGCATTTTTTATCAATTATACAATAATAATGTAATATTAAAACAATAAAAAATAAGTCCACGCTATATTTATAAACATGAACAAAAGCAAAACATAAACTGTCCCCTTCACACTCATAAGCTAGACCGCGGGAGAGAGAGATGAGCAGACTTTTCATGATGCGCATGCAGTGCGACGACGCGCTTATTCACAAACACTACACAAGCGCAACGTGTGAATGTGTTCACCGCGAGCTGTATGGTAGACGGAGTGGGGGTGTTAGGTTTTATTTTCGTTACGGAATTTTTCGATTCGGTCGACGCGCTCAAAGCCCGTGATAAAAGCTATGCAATATCTTAAAATACTATGACAGACAGATAGAGACTAAAGTTGTAGAGAATGATTATAATTATGAATTTAACTAGGTTTACTAAGCAAAAATATGCGTTGGCCGGGAATCGAACCCGGATCAACTGCTTGGAAGGCAACTATGCTGACCATTACACCACCAACGCCGCTGCTGTGGAAACACAATTGTGGCACGTAATGACAATAACGGTATGCACTTATTTGTACAACTGTGTAATCGTTTTAACCGCTCACAGTTCTAGCGTGCGAAACACGATACCGACGTAATAGCCGAGTTTGACTGATTTACATCGGCGGATATATATCGTGAAATATATCACTTGATGCGGATATATGTCAGCTGATATATTACGGTTTTCCGGAACTAAAACTTTAGCAATTTCATGTTTGTTGTGAGTTCCTTTCCGTTCCTTTATGTAGCTTCTAAGATAAGAATTGTAATTATTATTCGATAATTTATAATGGGTAATATTAATAATATTATAATTATAATTCGACCATAGCCACTTGAAGAATTAGTTACTTTATTTGTTTTGTCCGGTCAAGGTGCCTGTCTAGTGTTAAGCGGTTACTGGGACCATGTGAATACCACCAATCGCCTTGATACATAAGGTCTAAGTCTTATGATATATCCACTATCCAATCACTATGGTGGTACATCGGGCAAAGAATACGCCTTACCAGCACTTGACGGTAGAGAAAGAGAGAGAAAGAGAGTATTGTTTATTGTACACCAACAAAAAATAATGCGAAATATTATTATTACAATTTGTGGTCTTATCGCTAAGAGCAGTACCACCTTGAATAAAAGCAAGATTATTAATCTAATGCTGTCTAATGACAAAAATAAAATTTGATATGTTAAAAAAAAACTCGAATCTGATTTGAAAACAACTGAATGCGTAAAATAATAAAACATATTGTAAACAGATATTTCGGATCGCAATGTGCCGTAACGATTCTCAAAAGTTCACCGACCTTGTCGAACTAGAGCGTGCTTAAAATAAAATTAAAAGAAATCAAAATACAAAACAGTATTTTGAGTACATTTCAATGATTTTATGTATGTGGCTTTCAAACATTAGCCAAGCGTGATACGTTGATATAGTTCAAATTCTTACTGGTGGTAGGACCTATTGTGAGTCCGCACAAGCAGTAATGTGTTTCGGTTTGAAGGGTGAGGCAGCCGTTGTAACTATACTTGAGACCTTAGAACTTATATCTCAAGGTGGGTGGCGCATTTACGTTGTAGATGTCTATGGGCTCCGGTAACCACTTAACATCAGGCCGTGAGCTCGTCCACATACCTAAGCAATAAACAAAATGTAAAACCAGCTGACTCACCAGACCTCCTACTACCAGTAAAATCCATTCCGGCGTCTCCCATAGACGACAGATCTAGATAATATTTATGAAACAAATTTGATAACACCGATGTTTTGGGCTATCCAAAACTGCCTTTAATAATTCTAAGTAATCTTGAAGCACACCTCTCATTAGACGAGTGTGTAACTTATACACGTTTGGACCACATCAGACGTAGTCACGTGTGACCTCTCAACAGTCATCACTCAATTGTAACTTCTTAGAACTAGACTGTAGTTGATGACTTGCTTATCAAACAAGTTTTAGATAATTTAAATCAATGTAGCCTTTCTTTATTGTGGTTCCGTGATCTTAAATCAGACATACTAAGGGTAGGAAGTCTTGTGTGTTTTTTTTTTTTTTTGCTTAGATGTGTGGACGAGCTCACAGCCCTCCTGGTGTTAAGTGGTTACTGGAACCCATAGAAATATACAACGTAAATGCGCCACACACCTTGAGATATAAGTTCAAAGGTCTCAGTATAGTTACAACGGCTGCCTCACCCTTCAAACCGAAACGCATCACTGCTTCACGGCAGAAATAGGCGGGGCGGTGGTACCTACCGGTGCGGACTCACAAGAGGTCCTACCACCAGTAATTACGCAAATTATAATTTTGCTGGTTTGATTTGTATTACACGATATTATTCCTTCACCGTGGAAGTCAATCGTGAACATTTGTCGAGTACGTATTTCATTAGAAAAATTGGTACCCGCCTGCGGGATTCGAACACAGGTGCATCGCTATATACGAATGCACCTGACGTCTTATCCTTTAGGCCACGACGACTTCGTTAGTCCGGACGGGTTGGTACCACCACTCCCCCTATTTCTGCCGTGAAGCAATAATGCGTTTCGGTTTGAAGGGCGGAGCACCCGTTGTACTGTTAACAGTGAGCCCTTAGAACTCACGTCTCAAGGTGGGTGGCGGCATTAACGTTGTAAATGTCTATGGGCTCCGGAAATGACAATGAGGTTGGTAAGAAAGTTTCAACTATGAATGTGGAAGGCTTTAGAGGAAAAGGTAGAGCTAAGAAGAAATTGATGGATTGCGTGAAAGACGATATATTATGTAAGAGGGATGTGAGCGAAGAAATGGTATATGAGAAAGGAGTATGGAAGGAGAAAACATGTTGCGCCGACCCCAGGTTTTCTTTTTTTATTGCTTAAATGCGTGGACGAACTCATAGCCCGCCTGGTGTTAAGTGGTTACTGGAGCCCATAGACATCTACAACGTAAATGCGCCACCCACCTTGAGACATCAGTTCTAAGGTCTCAGTACAGTTACAACAGCTGCCCTGCCCTTCAAACCGAAACGCATTACTGCTTCACGGCAGAAATAGGCAGGGTGGTGGCACCTACCCGCGCGGACTCACAAGAGGTCCTACCACTAGTAAGATACCAGAAGTCTCCCAGTTACCACCAGGTGACTAGAAGAAGGGCAGGAGAATGATGATGATAACAAAGTGGCCACTTTCCATCGAACAAAGCACTGCGAGTCGGCTCTTCAAGGCAACAAATGCATCCACAATACATGATTCACGTCTTACAGTTTATGTCGGTTAAATACGAAATAAAAGATCTATTTTTAACTTTATAGTCTGTAACGCGCCTTTTCTGAGATTCATTTTGTTACTAATGAAATTGACTTCGACGTACTTACTGTAACATACTAATCTACTGTACGAAGTAGAATTAACGATTTTGTTATAGATACGCAACGAGTTCACGTCCTATTTGAGGTTAAGTGGTTATCAAAGCCAATGGACGACAGAGCGAAGATGTTAGCATTTTGGCCTTAGTCAAAATCTCAATTGGATAGTGTATGTCGGAGGAGATGAATAAACTATTAAAATTAAAAAAAAACGTGCGTTGGCCGGGAATCGAACCCGGATCAACTGCTTGGAAGGCAACTATGCTGACCATTACACCACCAACGCTTATAGAGAAAAGTTTGAAAATTAAATAGAAAAACTATAAAATGTTAAGAATGTTAATGTTTAAACAAGTGTAAGTTTCTGTAGAGTTGTGAACAAACAAAATACAAACAAACAAAAGTATCCATTTTATGTTTTAGATAGTACGGGCGATTGTGGTATTTTAGCCACCCATCCATTTGCTAACTTAAGCTAATGAAAAATCACAATAACGTAATGATAAAATATACAAGTCCAATGGGTTTGTAGCATTTGTCAATATTTTTTCCGCGCCAATATCCAACCGTTTTTTTAAATTCTAATCACGAGGCAAAAGCAATTAACACATACAGCCTAATTCATCTATCACGTATTAACAAAATCTCGAACAAACTTGTCAGTTTTTCCAGCATAATACCTAACATCCATGTACGATGGTAAACAATCACCAGCAAATGAACCGTATCGTTTGCCCACCCTTGCAATCAGAAATAAATGCCAACAAGCAATATTAAAAAAATATATAGTTACATAAAAGACAAAATCCTGCATTCCGTAACTTCGAACAATAACTGTGTCTATTTGACTTTTTTTTTCTTTTTTTTATTGCTTAGGTGGGTGTACGAGCTCACAGCCCACCTGGTATTAAGTGGTTACTGGAGCCCATAGACATCCACAACGTAAATGCGCCACCCGCCTTGAGATATAAGTTTCAAGGTCTCAGTATAGCTACAACGGCTACCCCACCCTTCAAACCGAAACGCAATACTGCTTCACGGCAGAAATAGGCTGGGCGGTGGTACCTACCCATGCGGACTGACAAAAGGTCTTTCCATCAATAATTACGCAAATTATAATTTTGCGGGTTTGATTTTTATTAGACGATGTTATTCCTTCACCATGGAAGTCAATCGTGAACATTTGTCAAGTACGTATTTCATTAGAAAAATTGGTACCCGCCTGTGGTATTCGAACACCGGTGCATCGCTCAACACGAATGCACCGGACGTCTTATCCTTTAGGCCACAACGATTTCAAAGCTGTTCAAATATTATACATATTTCAACGCGTACACAATACGTACCTGTGGACGCAAAACTCATATCGCTTACAGAAGAAAGATAACAGGAAAGTAACTCGATATGTGTGGTTTGGCGAAAATGACGTTCTCGCAGTATTTGCGGTTGCACTCTCTAGACTATAAGCCTGAAATGTGATCTTTGGCAAACCAGAATCGTTTAGCACGGAATTAAGTTTTGAGCTAGTAAATGAAAAATATTTACACACAAAAAAAAAAACAAATTAAAAATCATAATATTTTGATTTTGATTTTGTTTATTGCTTAGGTGGGTGGACGAGCTCACAGCCCACCTGGTGTTAAGTGGTTACTGGAGCCCACAGACATCTACGACGTAAATGCGCCACCCACCTTGAGATACAAGTTCTAAAGTCTCAGTATAGTTACAACGGCTGCCCCACCCTTCAAACCGAAACGCATTACTGCTTCACGGCAGAAATAGGCAGGGCGGTCACCTTGAGATATCAGTTATAAAGTCTCAGTATAGTTACAACGGCTGCCCCACCCTTCAAACCGAAACGCATTACTGCTTCACGGCAGAAATAGGCAGGGCGGTCACCTTGAGATATCAGTTATAAAGTCTCAGTATAGTTACAACGGCTGCCCCACCCTTCAAACCGAAACGCATCGTAACGCATAGTAATGCGTTTCGGTTTCTGCTGTGAAGCTACTGCTTATAAGCAGGGTGGTGGTACCTACGCGCGCGAACTCACAAGAGGTATTACCATCATAAATTACACAAATTAAATTTGATTTAGAAGTAAAAAAATAGCGAAGGATAAAAATATCAGATTTTATTCGTTATTTTGTGTCTCTTTTTTTCCTTAACTATTCACTGGTAGCCTAAGAGGCTATTCCAGTTACGCCCGGACGGGTATGTGAGCTCACGGGCTCAATCTGAAAGAATTTGCTAACACTAGCCCTAGCAAGAGCAGTGTTTCACAGAATCTACCACCAACCCGGAATTGCGACCCACTGCAAAAATCCGGCGAGTAGGTAACTCAGTAGGCTGCTCTGTGTCTCAATCGCATAGAGCGGATCGCGGAACGCATCAAGCGGACCGTTCTAATCAAAGTTAATGTTTACGCATCCTTTACAAAAATAAAGAAGATTATCAGATATCTTCAATTCGCAGAATCCTGGCACCGAAGCAAGACCCTATATTAGTAGGTTGACTGACAAAACGATCAAACTGATAAAGTCATTGCAATGTATAATGATTGTTTTATGACAATCATTTTGTAAATGTTGTAGATTATCTCGCTGCCAAAAGGAAAACGTTGCCAAATTCGTATTTCAAGGTATTCACTAAAATAGGTCTTACAAGAATCTTGAAATCTATATACGGACTTATTGCACGTAATATGTGTCTTGGAACACCTACGCGAGAGATGTTATTTTGGATATTTAAGGCACTACTTTTGTAGTTATGTGCGCGGAATACCGGATTGAGTTTAGTCCAAGCATGAACTTCCCAGTTTTTTTGCTGAATAATTGCAGAGCTGTTGAAGAAGGACTGTGCTGATTATATCTATGAGCATCGATGAGCTATACAATAAGCGAACTAGTTCACCGCTTATCCGATTCATGTTTTTATCGCCTTTGTAGACAGGAGAGCACACGGCCAGGTGAGTGGTCACCGTTGCTTATGGACTTCAGTAAGGAATACTCTCTGTAAGCCTAGTTTGAAGAAGGATATGTTTATAGCGCCCGGGAAAAGCAGTGGAGGGGACTTCATTCCTGAGCTAAATTGGGGTTCTTTTTCCTAATCGAACACTCTTGACAGAGTGGTCGTTGCATCAGTTGAATCCTGCGACACCGATGCTCTCACGATGCGATGCCATGTGGCACGGTGTTTTGCAGAGTGATGGGAGTACGTAAGACATCTCAGTGAGTGAACGCAGCAGTCCCGAATAGTATGAATGAACTTTGCTACGATGGCCCATGGTGTAGTCAGCCTCCAGGCAATAGTTCCTTTTGATAAAGACTATTGATGGTCGCAATAGTCGTAAAAACCACATTCGAGATAACAGGTTTGATTACCATCAACACTGCAACCGGTCACCAGACCAAGGAGGCTAATCGGTGAATCCGTCGGTCAGTCAGCTCTTACCACAAAACCCCTTATCGAATTCCTCTTAAAAAAATCCCACAAGGTCTTGGTAAATTAACATTGTATTTTGTCTACATTTGGCTAGTGATATTTTCGGCCTGGGAATATCCTCTCTACAACTGTATACACTTGTAAAATCATCCACCAATCCACCGAATACATCATTTAGTCCTTTCACACTCATAAATTGAACGAAGAAAGTCCTCGTGTGTTTTACAGTCAGTGTAACGAAATAAAATAGGGACCTGCCCTAAAATTGAATTGCCGTAAACCTGTCGTTTTGTAGCGCGACCTAGTGACGGAGAATTATGGCTTTATAGAGGAATGTTAGGGCTGGAGTCATTACTTTGTTTTATTAGGGAACGGAGTAGCTTTTGCTTTGGTATATTTAGATATTGGACGCTTTTCTAGCCTACTCTGGCAGGGATGTGTGTCTCAATAATTTTTTTCTCCTACCTAAGCTGATAGCCTTGAGAGGCTACTTCAGCGGAACCTTAACTAGTAGGTGAGCTCACGGGGCTCAAACCTGAGGACGTTGCTAACACGAACTGTAACAAGAGCCGTGCTTCGCAGAATCTACCACAGCATCGGAAACGCGACACACTGAGAAGATCCGGCCAGAAATTCAGTGAGCTGTGTCTGAGGGTTAATTTACTCGTCGAGTCCTTCGTCGCAAGCGACGGGATCAACGAGAACGGTGACCGGTGCTTGAGTTACCTAAAAGCACCGTTAGTGGATCGGGAGGATCCGAAATGACGTGTTTGGGGCGACGTCGACTGCTTTCCATTCTTTCCGCAGAATCGGGAATGGTCTCAATCAAAAAGAAATTGCCACTTTTATATTTAATAGCGTACCGCCCCGGCTTTGCTTGGGTAGTAGCGCACGCGATGTAAAAAAATTTAGGTATTTTTTTTACACATTGGGTTCCATTGTTGGAGTTTTAGATTTTTTGAAAATATTATAAAAATAGCCTATGTCACTCGGGGTTAGTGTAGCTTGCCAACAGTGAAAGAATTTTGTAAATCGGTTCAGTAGTTTCGGAGTCAATTCAATACAAACAAACAATCAAATTTTTCCTCTTTATAATATTAATACTTCAATGAATGTTAAAATTAAAATTAAAATTGTGCTTTGCAATGGATCGCAAAAACAAAAAAGGTTTTATCGGAATTCGACTTTTGTAAATATTTTAAGGGTTAAATCTAGTGAATGGATCAGTCGTGTCATCATTATAAGATACTAGCGACCCGCCCTCGCTTCGCTTCGGAAACATTAAAACAAACATGAAACAAAAAAAAAAAAAAAAAGTAGCCTATGTTCATCAGGGACAATGTCGGCTTCTAATGGAAAAAGAATTTTTCAAATCGGTCCAGTAGTTTTGGAGCCTATTCGAAACAAACAAACAAACAAATCTTTCCTCTTTATAATATTATAGTATAGATTGAATTGATTTTAGATTAAGCAGGACATGAAAACAAAAAGTGATTGAAGGTTCGTTAATTTTAAAAAGTACGATTTTGAATATTATCTGAAAACATTTATATATCTGTGGCTCCTCAGAATGTCCTATGACGAAATACTGTCAAAACGTTCAGAAATGTAATTACAGCGAAGTACTCTTGATGCGACATTGTTTAAGACTAGGGCTACCAGACTACAGGAGTTTTCCTGATCCGTTGGGAATTTTGTAAATATTAATCGTTAATTAGAGATATATGAAAAAAATTAAAACACATTGAAATTAGAAACTGTGGAGGAAACTGCAGAAATCACAAATAAATATAGATAATTACATAATTATACTGTTTATAAAATATAAAATAAACCTTAACAAAACTAGTGGCGATTTCATAGTATGGCATTAATTATACCACAAAACAAATATTTAGATACTTTAAATATTTGATCTGGTAACCCTCATATTTGATAAATTTACAACACAATACCCTAATTACGCCTCATTAAGATTTCGAAGATTCAATCGAGTGTGGTAAGAAAGGGACCAGATAATAATTTCTTAGAATTATTTCGAAGCAACAATAAGATGTTCCTAGAATATGACGTGTATAAATTAAATACATTTTTTATTTTTTTTATTGCTGAGATGTGTGGACGAGCTCACAGTCCACCTGGTGAGGCAGGGTGGTGGTATCCGTGCGGACTCACAAGAGGTTCTACCACCAGTGAAGTTGCGTCTCGTCGTCGCTGCTTGCTTCCAAGGCAGCTGCACTTCGAGCGATGTTCCTCCATTGGAGGCGGTTGTTGGCATTACGAGCACATTGCACTACGGTGGCTTTCGTAGTGCTGGTGATGAGGTCAATCCAGACCGACCTTGAGGTCTTCTGCTTTCTATACGGCAGATTTGATACTGTACGAGACCTCTGGATCAGGCTAAAGGTTATGTAACTATTACGTCATATACGCTTATGGAGTGACGCAGCAAGATGTTCTTATTAGTCGCCGATATCTAAGCTTTCACTTTACGACATATGTACGACGTGTAAGTCACATGTCTATCTATGCGCCCTTCTGTGTAAATATCAATAAAGCCGTTGAAATGTGCTTTTCTATTTTATTACGCAACCCAACTAATTATTGAGTTAAATCTATGATAGTATTTCTTTAAGTTTTTTTTTGTTGCTTATATGGGTGGACGAGCTCACAGCCCACCTGGCGTTAAGTGGTTACTGGAGCCCATAGACATCTACAACGTAAATGCGCCACCCACCTTGAGATATAAGTTCTAAGGTCTCACGTATAGTTACAACGGCTGCCCCACCCTTCAAACCGAAACGCATTACTTTTTCACGGCAGAAATAGGCAGGGTAAAATAGCGTAAAAGTTAACTCAAATTTCTCCATACAAATATGAGTTAACTTTTACGCTATCGTGAACGTTAAAAAACTCGCGCTAAGTACCCCGAATGTTGCCATCCGGAACTTGTCAAGCGAGTTTATCGTCTGAATATTGTTAGCGCG